ATGAGGACAGTGGGTGGGGAGTGAGGGCGGAGGGTGGGGTGGGAACTGGGTGGAGGGAAGTTATGGGGGGAAAAAAGAACAAATGTAATAATCTGAACAATAAAGATTTAATAATAATAATAATAAAGTAGATTTGGAAATTATGAAGAAAAAAAAAAAGAATGGAGATTTGCCCTGTCAGATATTAACCAATTGGAAGTTTTCTACCCTTGTCAGTTAAGGGGTGGACACATGATGTAAGCCAAGCCACTCCAGTCGGTATTAATTATGTTTCTAATTATTATTTCCCTGTTACTACGTGACTCAGAACCTTGGGTAGATTTTTACCCTGTTTGCAGAGTTAAGATTAGGATGGACTGACATAAGATTTACATTAGTGGCATTCACAGATTTCCCTTTGAGGTTCATCTTAATGCAGTGGTCCCCAAAGTGGTCTTGGGATTGCAGTATCAGTATCATATGAGACCTAACTAGAAATACAAATTCTCAGGTCCCAGCTACAACCTACTGAATCAGAAACTCTGGCATTAGCGCCCAGTAGTCTTTTACAGACACTTGATGCATGCTAAAGTTTGTGAAGCACATTATTAAAGAAAGGGTTTGTCATCCTCTAGAATACTGAAACAGATGCACGGGGCTCATGTGATGCATCATCATAATAAAAAGGAGAAAGCAGACTTACAAATAAGCTCCTGATGGAAATTCACGTGGCACACTTCAAGTCACAGGTGTTACATTTCAATTCAGCCATTCCTCACATGGACACCTGCAGGGTGAGCAGCAGCTGGAATTTATTTAATTGACGATGGTTAATGAGGCTGCCAAATAACTCAGCTAGAAAGGTCAGCTCATAGATCAATTAAATATTTCCTGCTGTATCATCTGCCAGTTGATGTGAACCTGTGATTGTCAAGAGACCTAACTGTTGGACTAAATAAAACATTAGGAAGGTAAATTTGCTGCGGGAAGGGGTGAGAGCCTGCACCATCCGTAAGAGATTTTTAAGCCATCCACTGATCACTTCATTAACTCTGTTACTGTACAGTTCACTGTAGTTAGCTTTCCATACTCTTATCTTCATAAGGAAAATTTTAACACATAATTTAAACACCCTTTAATGATAGTAATTTTCCTTCTGATATTAATAGTCTCAGGTTTTAAATTTTGTCTCTAAGAAAAACACTTCCTTGTGCAAAGAATGATTGACTAGAATCTATTTTGATGGATTTAGAGGTATGTAAAGGCAGGCCATGTTTTGTGTGTGTTTTTTTGGCAAGATATTCTGCAGGGAGGGACTAAGCTGAGGCAAGCGAGGCATTCCTCAACGTTGCAGAATTTTAAGGGCACCTAACATTTATTTATCTATACTCAACATAAATAATATTTTAATGGCCAAAATTGATATAAAAGGAAAAACCAAAAGATGAACAAAATGTCAAAGATTTAAATAAAGACAGGATTATAAATGCTGGGTTGAGTCATATCGGAGCCTGAGGCAAAAGGAAAGTCAGTAATACTGATCTTGGCTCTGAAAATCTCAGGTAAGTAAAATGTAAAACTAGGACCACAGTTCCTAGATTAGTAATATAAAATTGTATTAGCGTTTATAATAACATTCTTTTGTTTTTGTATTTCTAGGGATATATTAATATCTCCATCATGCTGGCAACATGCTGTTCTTCTTAACCGATTCAATTACCCTTTTGAACTGGAAAAGGATTTACATTTCAAGGGCTATCACACACTCTTTCAAGGATCTTTACCCTATTATCCTAAATCAATGAAGTGTTATCTTAGCAGAATTCCCCACCGGATACCTTCAGAAAGACACCAAATTGGAACCCTAAAAAAATACTATCTCCTGAACGCTGCCTCTCTTCTCCCAGTACTGGCTCTTGAATTAAGGGACGGAGAGAAGGTTCTGGATCTGTGTGCTGCTCCTGGAGGCAAATCAATTGCTCTGCTGCAGTGTGCTTGTCCAGGTAGTGTGCTTTGCTTTCAGTTATCAACCACTTTTCAATGTCCATCTGTATAAAGTGCTTTTAACACATCTGGGGGAGAAACGTGAGATTGAATTTGTAGACTTTGAAAGCATGAAACCAGGACAATATGGAGAGAATGGAAATTTTAGCTGAGGAATTCAGTGTAAATAGTATTTTTCCCCAGTTACTTAATACGAGCAGGTAATTGGGAACAAAATTACATGTTGGGAATGAAAATCTATCAGATAATATGAATTCTGATAAACCAATAACAAAGATTTAAAAAATTTTATTACATTTATACTTAAGAGTCATATTGACTTCCTTGTAATAGTACTATGAAGCAGAAACATATACATTTAAAATCATTTTTTTGTATCATTGGACCATAAGGTTCTATGGCAATTCTGTTCAATCCTATATAATAAAAGCCCAGTGACCAAATGGCAGAACGATCAGAACGACCGGTCGACCAGTGTGCTATGATGCACACTGACCACAAGGGGGCAGACACTCAACGTAGGAGCTGCCCCCTAGTGGTCAGTGCGCTACCACAGTGGGAGCGCCTCTCAGCTGACCGGGATGAGCAGCTGCTCCCACTGCGAACCCCAGGCCGACAGAAAGGAACCTGGGCTGTGATCATCGTCTCCTTGCCCCAGGCTCCTCCTCCTCACTCCCTGATGCCTCCTCCAGACACCCACAGGCTGTACAGTGCTGCCGTGAGGCTCACAGAGCTGACCCTGGAAGTTGGGAGGCGGGTTTGTGGCCACCACGGGACTGAGACCTACTCCGCTGCCTCTCAGTGCTATTGTCCCGGGGCCCAGCCTCGATCGGGTCCCCTGGAGAGGCGAGTGCTCTGGCTCCACGGAAGATGCCGGACCAGGGAGCAGCCACTCAGATGGCAGGTCCACAGCCACTCGGCTGACCAGGATGAGCAGCGCTCCCACAGTGGGCCAATCCCTGCAGGCCACGTCCCCTACCAGTGCACGAATCCCGTACTCCGGGCCTCTAGTAGAAATATAATGTGACATCTATATATATATATATATATATACAAAACCCTAATATGCAAATAGACCAAACAGCGGAACAACCGAACAACCGGTCGCTATGACGTGCGCTGACCACCATGGGGCACGTGTGGAACATGGCAGACATTGGCAGCAGGTGGCAGTGTGTGAAACATGGCAGGCATCGGCCGCAGTGGAATGGTGGAGCAGGTGAGCGGAGGCGCCAGGCCACCGCGGGGCGAGCCTCTGGTGGTTACTGAAAATTCTTTGCTCCTGCGTGCTGTGGTCCTGCTCAGCGCTCGCACCTGCTGCCAGCACCGGCCCCGCTCGCACCATTGCTCCATGCCATCAGCGGGTGCGAGCGGCGGCTCCCGGCCCCAATTGCTTCTGAGGGCTTCTCCACCTCCCTCTGCTCCTGAGGGGCGATTTGGGCAGCAGCCGCTGCTTGCACCTGCTGATGTCACTGGCCTCGCTTGCACCCGCTGCTGGTGCCAGCCCCAATCGCTCTGTGCTGTCAGCAGGTGCAAGTGGGGCCAGCGCCGTCACTGTGTGGGAGTGGCGGTAGCAGCAGTGGGAGAGGGGCTGCTGGCAGACAGGGAACCAAGGGCCGTGGCAGGAGGGGCTGGGTGGGGGCGTGGAGGATGGGCCGAGACCCGCCCCTGTACCCACCTTATCCTCAAGGCCCATAGTTCCTTTAAAGGTGCATGAATTCATGCACTGGGCCCCAAGTTTACATATAATTTAAAACTTTTGAGTAGTCTTTTGAGGGCTAAACAAATAGTTTTATGTTTTTCCCCAGTTAATAATTGTAAGAAACGTTCACTTGTACAAATTCAAATAATGGACTCGGAGACAGGAATGGCGAAAACAAGACTTTTAATGCGGTCTTGCAAGATCAGTTGTCTGGTTGAACAGGCACACACTTGAAGCGGTGATCACAGGCTATTTATTCCTAGTGTCTGAGAGTCCCTCCCCCAGTTCCTCATTGGTTGAGTACTATGGGGTTAACAGTTTTCCCCAAACGTCGCCTAGGTCTGTTGTCTCCCATTGGGTTATTTAAAAATAAATGAGTTGAGGCCTTTCTAGTTGTCTCCACCTCCCTTTGTTTAGCTGTGGCGGATCTTCCTGGAAAATGTGCTACTGGTCACATATACAGTTCTTTGTTCTTATACCCTCTCCCCTCCTCCCTACTTCCTTTTTGTCCTGGGAAACTTCAGTAACCAACTGGCCACATGCTTTTAGTTTTCTCTAAAAGTGGTCTATGCTGAAGATGGATCACAGAGGCCTATTTCCTACAATAATCAAATTAACAAAGACAGATTAACAGGAGAAAACGTCCAAAGTTTATTACATGCCAGGGGTTGTCATGAAATATGAGACCCCAAAATGCATTGGGCTGTTGAAGTTTTTATGTCTTTGTGGACAAAGGAGAAAGGAGGCAGGAGTCTGAGATTTCACAGCCAGTTGAGGAAGAGCAGAACAAGCTTTGTCGGTGCATTTTTTTAAAATATATTTTTATTGATTTCAGAGAGAAAGGGAGAGGAAGAGAGAGATAGAAACATCAATGATGAGACAGAATCATTGATTGGCTGTCTCCTGCATGCCCCATACTGGGGATCGAACCTGCAATGAGGGCATGTGCCTTGACTGGGAATGGAACTGTGACTCCTGGTTCATAGGTCGATTCTCAACCACTGAGCCACACCGACCAGGCCATAGGCACATTCTTACTAGGCAACCCAGAATCAGGGGGACACAAGGAGTAATCTAGTTACCAGGCCCCTGCTTGGAGCCCTCCTATCCATCACACTTAATTCAAATTAGGGTAAGATGAGTAAGCTAAGATTTCTTTCCTACAGCAAGTCTTTCCATCTGAATTTTATGGACAGGAAAAGGGGAGAATCAAGTTGTTATTGTGCTGGGGGTGGAGTCCTTACAGTATCTTAAGAAAAAGAATTTTCTGAGATTCACACAGGAGGATAAGTGATTTTTATTTGTATAGACTTTCATCTCTGTGTTTGAAACATGCCATTTCCCTTAATCCAGTCCTGGAAGAAGTGTAGTTGGGGATTTGGTAGAGCTAAAGAGAAAGCCAGTGTGCAGTTTCCATTCCATATTGCAGCTGGGTCCAGTTCAGCATCAGGCTAGTTGCAGTTCATTAGTCCATTGTGTGTGGGATCCACATGGCCGTGGGCCGCGCAGGAGAATGCCAGGAAGCAGGAGCCAGAGCCCTGCAAGCCAGGAATAATCAGCCAAGAGGAACCAAGAGAGCAAACTCCTTTGCTTTGGGGATTAAATATCCCAAATTTTGAGCTTTTGCTGTGGCCATGCCCATTCTGGCCAATGACCTGTTCCCAGGTGTGATTGACAGACAAGTACCTTCCCTATTTCACCCAGACTTTACTGGGCATGCGTCTATTCTCCCCTTGTCCAGTCCCTTCCCCCAGCAATCTGTGGGGATAAACTGGTGATTCCCTGGGGAGTGTTAAACTGCAGCTCCCTGGCAAATCTGCACAAATGGCACACCTATAATATTTGGCCTTTCTTTTGCTCCTTTTCTGTTATTAATAACTAGGTTGATTACAACGGTATCAAAATGTCCTTTCTGAGTACTAAAGTCAATATCCCAAAAGTCAGCTCTAGGGTTGCAAAACTTTGGTCCGTTTCATCTCATTAAAAAGGTAGAAAGAAACAGATGAAGTTAATTTTTATAATACATTGTAATCCAGTACATCCAAAATTTCATTTCAACATGAAATCAGAATAAAAATTTTAATGAGATATTTTGCATTCTTATTTTCTTAGAAAATTTCCAAAATTAGTGTGTATTTTATATTTACAGCTCATTTCATTTGAACCAGCCCACAAGTGGGACAATGCAATTCTAAAGATTTAAAGTTCTTTTGAAGTGAATTGTCATTTACCATTATTCCTAGTACAAAAATGATGAAATGTATATAATATATATTTTCATAAATATTTGTTAAAAGTAATTAGTCAACATTCATCATCATTTTTTTAATGAGACCATGGGACTTAAAAAAATTACTTATAGCTAGATGAGATGGGGTTTAGCATTAATTCTATCTCTTTTGTTTGTATGATGGTTTTGTTTTTATAAATGCAAATGCTATTGTTCACATAGGTAAGAAGATGGAAGTAGTGGGAGCTGTGTTATATAGTAGATTCCTAGTTTTTTAAGTTCCTGAGTTATAACCCACATCACACAGTTATCTTTCATCAAGCTTTATTTTAATTATCAGCTAGGTGAGCACTCTCTAGGTTCCCTTTTTATTTTGTTGAAGGCAAAGTATTGGAACCATCTCAGTTACAAAAGGCTGTGTCTGTCACCTAGTTGTTGGACTCATTCACTTTCTCAGCCAAGGCTCCAATGTGTTGAACTTTGGTGCTTTGGAGGTTCCTATGCCCTGGCACAGTTTTCAGTAATAAGGTTCTGGATGGGTAGGAAGTTGGCTCCCCATATGTAAAGTTGGTGAAGGTGCCCTGACTCAAGCCTTCTCCTCCTTTAGAAAGTTGATCTGAAAATTGATTCTTATGAAACTGTCCACGCCCATATATCCCTTAGAACATTGTGTGTATCCCCGGGCCATGCGTATCCCAGTTTGAAGACTGCTCATTTATATCTCCATTGGAGAGCATTCCCTGTTGAAACAGATTACAAATATTTTTATGAGAACCAGGAATCCAGTTGTACTAAGCTTTGGTACAAATATATAGTTAACAGTATATTTAAGAGCAAACATCCTGTGTGTTTCAGAATGGTGATTAAAACTCTGATATTACAGCTTGCTGTATTTTTATGTAAGAAATAACAAAAGAGATTATTTTGTAATAATTTAAGCTGAAGTTTTATGGAATCATGTGTCATAAGGAGTACTGGGCTTTACTTTCACGCTGTATTCTTTGACAGTATTCTTATTTTGGCTGTTACATCAGTTTTGAAAATAGAATTTTTAGTATTGCAAAAGG